TAATTTATATTAGATTTGCCCATTAAAACTCATTAATTAAAGTATTTTTAATTAATTTTACATAAATTTTCACATCAAATTTATAATTTTTTATAAAATTTGAAGTAAAATATTATATTTGATTTTATTCTTATATTTTATATTATATTTTATTTAAATTTTGTATTAAAATTTTTATAAAATTAATTATAAATATTACAATGAATAAAATTTAACATGTATCCTAAAAATACTAAAAATCTCATTTATATTTTATAAGGAGTGTGTGATAGAGACAATATTTTTCTCACACATTTTTATATAATTTACACGTATTATTAAATAAATAAATATATTTAATATTATAAATCTTACGTGAATTAAAAAAATTAATTATTTTAATAACACAAAAAATTAAAAAAAAATCTTAAAATAATCATTTCTCTTTTTACAATTCCGTACAAAAAAAACTGACGGTGAACTAAACTGAAAACTCTTTTGTACAATAATAATAACCAATTTAAAGGCTCTAACTTTCTCCTTAAATAAAGTTGGAAGCATCAAGGAACAGAATTCATTTGATCCATTTTGAACTTTGAAGTCATTTCGTTTCCTTTGACCCAATCAGAAAGCACACAATACCAATTGCCGGAAAAGGGAAAGTTTTCTGTGAATATATTTTATACATACCGGAAAAAAGAAAATATTTTTTTGTTGTAGTTTTTGGAATTGGGTTAGGGGGATGTGATGTGAGTGACGTGCAGAGATGGCGCATGTGGTGCCGGCAGACCCGCAGGCGGTGGTGGTCGTCAAGAAGAAAACGCAGTCGTCTCGGAGCTGGATGCTGTTGGACTCCACCGGCCACGGCACCGTGCTGGATGTCGACAAATACGCTATCATGCATCGCGTTCACATCCACGCCCGCGATCTTCGTATCCTCGACCCGCTCTTGTCTTACCCTTCCACTATCCTGGGAAGAGAGCGAGCTATTGTGCTGAATCTAGAGGTTAGATTTTGTCGAGATTTTTTTTTTTTTTCCTTTTTTCGTTCTCTGTTTTCTGATTTGGTAGTGGCTTTTTTTTTTTTTTTTTTTTTGGTGTGCAGCATATCAAGGCGATCATTACTGCTGAGGAGGTTAGTGGGTTTTTATTTATGAAATTCTTTGCTTTACTTTGATGGTTTACGATTGGATTTCATTTATTTTATTTTATTTGAAGTGTTTATTTGATTTGGGGGTGAGTAGTTGGTTAAGTAGGCTTGATTGATAGTTCAATTGGGTTTAGTATGGTTCCTGTTTGTTGAAATGATTTGAGGATGCAGTCACTGAAACAGAAGAGAGACAAGTGAATTGGGAAAAAAACAAAAAAAAAAAAAAAAAGGGGGGGGGGGGGGGGTTTCTTGCATTAAATTATCAAAAGAAATTAGAACTGCTGTCTCATGTTCACCCCTTTGATGTAGAGTGTTACTGAAAAATAGCAATTATTTGTCTTTTCCTTGATTTTTGTGTTCTATTTGTTCTCATGAAGTCGGTGGATTTACTCAAAATAACTGAACTATGGTCTGAAATGAGGATCATGTTATTAAAAGCATTTATGTGCCATGTGAAATTTGTCTTTTAAAATCTTTTATCTGTTAGCCTGGTTACTATGTTTAGATTTGGGTTTGGATGGAATTTGTTTGCTATTAATCGAGTTTGATGAGCTTGATATTGTACTAGAAAACTTAGAAAAGAATTTCAAGTGAGATCAGTTTGTGCTGCTTTTGAAAATTGTGATTGTTCTTTTATTTGACATAGGTACTGCTTCGAGATCCAACAGATGAAGATGTTATTCCTGTTGTTGAAGAACTTCAAAGGCGACTGCCTCCTGTAAATGTCATTCGCCAAGGTCAAGGAGTGGGGAAAGACTACATGATGGGGCACAATGATGTCGAAGCAGGAGAAGAAGATGGTAATTTGGAAAATTAAGTGGCAAAATATTAATTTGACGTCTATTTTTTCCTTGCACATTGACTTTCTATTTTATTCTAAATATAAGAGAAAACTACTCTTTCCATTTCCTCATTATCTAACTGATTGATACCACGAAATTTAGAGTCTCCCTTTGAATTCCGGGCCCTGGAGGTAGCTCTGGAAGCTATTTGTAGTTTTCTGGCTGCACGTACTACAGAGCTAGAGACTGCTGCATATCCTGCTTTAGATGAACTTACATCCAAGGTAATTCAAATTGTTTCTCTTTTTGTCCTGTGAAAATCCATGTCCCTTGTCATGCTCAAGCCATTTTGTCCTACTTGCTAACTGCTGTTACCATGTATAAACCAAAAGAAAATTGCATTGAAAAGTATAAATAAGATTGTCAATGTTCTAAGTGTTGGCCAACTGCCATTGCATATCTTTATAAGAGACTGTTGCCTAAAAGAGAGCTGGTTGGGGTAAATTTTGATAGTTGTTGCAGGAGGTAGTATGTGGTCTGTATGTGAATGTTTACATTTGAGTTATTGTATTTTGTAGAGACATGGGTACCTCAAGCCTAGAAATTCAAGTTCCATTCAAAAACCTCGTCTCTCTTTTTTGCCATTTTAGTTTTGTCATGGCCAGTTTTTAAGTTGTCATGCTTGTTAGAAGGATCTTTTCTGGGCTCCTAGCTTTGGATAAAATTTTCTCATCATTAACATAAATCTGAACATTTTGTATCCCATGCATACATGTCAACTTGTACTTCTGTTTGGTTTAGACTTGGATGGTCAATTGAGCTCTATGGAGAATTGTGTAGTTGTTATTTTAATCTGTAGTTGACCTTAGCAGTTTTCCTGCTCGTTTTCTCTTTCTTCCTCCCTGCCTCACTCTATGTTATAGATGCTGTTTCCAGAGTGTCAGAGTCCTTTTAATATTATTATTTTTCTGGAAAAGAAATAGGAGGAGAAGAAGATGGGGGAAAGAAATACACTAGTAATTTTGTTCTTTCTGCAACTTTTATGCTTTACAACCTGCATTATTGAGCTTGCACTTGCATAGTTGACCAGAATACCTGTATTTAAGTTTGCTTTAGTTTTGCCACCAAGGATTTAAGTGCCTTAACCATCTCCTTCCTGTGGAAGTAAGAGATCTTAGGTTCAAGTCGCATGGCATGTTGGTGGGGAGAGTTAAGCAACGGAGAGGGTTGCCTCCCATTGTGCAACCCATAATCCCAAAAAAAAAAAAAAAAAGAAGAAGAAGTTCGCTTTAGTTTGGCCTCCTTGTTTTCGCTGTCTAATAACAGAACATATTTCGCTATGCTGAAATGTCCATGATGTATACTTCTTCTCTGGCCTCTGGGTTTATTTACTCTGTGTATGACTTTTGCAAATCTATACTAAATGCAGATTAGTAGTCGTAATTTGGATAGGGTCCGCAAATTGAAGAGTGCCATGACAAGGTTGACTGCTCGGGTACAAAAGGTAATAAGAAGTACCTCTATGCAGTAATATCTTTTTCTAAGGAAATGGGAATTCTGTTAATTGGTATATTGGTTTTGCCAAGAGCAATATTTATTTTTTTTTCTCCTGCAGCCTTTCCCTATAAACTTATCCTGATTTCTGACATTTGTTGATGGTCATGATAGGACCCTCCATACACATGTTGACTGTGTAGAAAAGTAAATGCATCTTTGTGTTTTCTTTAAGTTTTGTTCTCATACATCCTATCTCATGTAGTTTGCTTATCATAATATAGTCACACACCCTACCTTTGTTCCCCTTGTAGTTATCATTATTTTTACACTTATTTGTTTGTATGCAAGAAAATAGTGTTAATCAAGGATTCAAGGTGAACACATGACACAATTTTTACCTGAGAAAAAGTTTCACCATATGTAGACTCTAATTCTTGTTAAAATGATCTCAAGATTCAACATACTGTAATTTGATTTAATATATTTTTTAACATACTCAGATAATAGGGCAAGATGAAATCTTATGGGCACCGATTATTGTAGGTGAGGGATGAACTAGAGCAACTACTGGACGACGATGATGATATGGCTGACCTTTACTTGTCAAGAAAATTGGCTGGTGCATCTTCACCTGTTAGTGGATCGGGTCCTGCAAATTGGTATCCTTCCTCTCCTACCATTGGATCAAAGATTTCAAGAGCAAGTAGAGCAAGTGTTGTGACAGTTCGAGGCGATGAGAATGATGTAGAGGAGCTTGAAATGTTACTGGAGGTAATAACAATTTCTTTTGCATGTGTAATGTCCTGTCAAATGCAAAGGCCTAAACTTGTTGCAATCCTTGTTGCAATCTGTTTTGCAGGCTTACTTTATGCAAATTGATGGCACATTGAACAAACTGACAACGGTACTTTTGAATCTGTTTTTGTCTCTTCCATCTTGCTCTGTTGTGAAAATTAGGAAATGCTTTTTACTTCAGGATCTTCTTTTCTTTTTTCATAGCATTTAAATATCTTCATTTAGCTCGAGACCGTTTTTGGTGTAATAATGAGTACATTGGCAAAATTCAGATTCCCTAGGATTCTTCAAAAAAGTTGTTTAGTTTGTTCATTGTTGCAGAGTAAAAAGTAAAGTGGTATCCTTCTCTCATTGTTATTGGAGTTAAGGTACAAGGTTAATATCTATATATTCAACTAAATATTGTTGGCAAAATATAGGAATGGAAGACCAAGCAGTAACTTGCATGCTGTGTAACTTATTGAACTGGAAAACAACTTTTATTGGCATTTGGTAGTTTGGATTTTATGCAGGGTTCTCTTTTGGTCACATAAGCTGCAGTCCTTGCTGCTGTTGTATGTCAAGTCTTTTAATTGCATTTGCAAATAGTTATATTAGTTTGAACTGATTCATCGTTGATATTTATTAAGAAAATATATTATTTTGCACTCTCAATTGCATGCAACACTTTTATTGATTCATAAATGCTGCAGCTTCGAGAATATATTGATGATACAGAGGACTACATTAACATTCAGGTAATCACAGCAAAACTTGAAAATTCAGTGAGTTTATTCTGCGACTGCAAATGCATTTTTTTGGCTGAGTAAATTATATGCTTCCTTTTTACAGCTTGATAACCATCGTAATCAGCTGATTCAGGTCCTCTACCATCCTCTCTACCAATTAATTTGCAGTAGCTGCTTTTCCTGTTGAAATATCTGAAGAAGAAGCAGTCATTTGCTTGCTTCTTCAATTATCATGCAGTAACCATTTTTTCAATCCTGTATTTTGATCTTCATTTGTGCAGTTGGAGCTCTTTTTAAGTTCAGGAACTGTTTCTTTAACCATCTATTCCTTGGTTGCTGGGATATTTGGCATGAACATCCCATATACTTGGAATGATGGCCATGGATACATGTTCAAATGGGTACGCAAAGCATTTCATCTATCAATCTATAACCTCCCCTTTGAGACTGACTTTATATATGCCAGTTGCCATATGATTGAATCATTCCATCTTTGAATTTGGTAGGTGGTGATCTTTGCAGGCGCATTCAGTGCAATTCTCTTTCTATTTATCATGTCCTATGCTCGCTACAAGGGTTTGGTCGGATCTTGATTTCCAAGTGTGCATTCTTTCCTGCTGGAGAGGAGTTACAAGATGACATCCATGAAGATGAATCAACTTTCAAGTGACTGCTTTCCTGCCACTTGATGATTTGGTGGTTCACCATTCTCTCATTGACTATGAAGGGTCTAGAGGGATATATCTCACTGGACATTTCTCATTATCATAAATGGATATTTAAATTTACATGGTTTTATTTCATATTTCCCCAATATTATTAACTGCCTAATATTACACAAGCAGTTCATGGAAGTCCCCTTTCCTCAATTTTGGATTCTTCATGTTGCTCTCACTGTGATGCATAAAGATAACTAATTCATGTATCTGGGCATTCAATTACTAAAATTTTCAATGACAAAAGTTGTTGTCATAAAAGTTCAGTTTTTCTGGTTTTATCTTCAGCCAGGTGTCTGTTTATTCCCATATGCTTGTCTTAATAGTCCATTTTCTTCTTTTAAAGGGTTTTTTTAATATGTGTTTTTAATTTTTTTACTTTTTTTACATTAATTAATATTAAAAAATATAATAGTAATTATTAATTTTATTATTAGTATTATGTATATTATTTTAATTAGATAATTATTTAAATAAAGATTAATTTTTTTAATACTAAGTAATATAAAAAAATATAATAACTATATTTTTAATTTGTATTCTTACTATACGGTTGAATTAAGAGGAATTAAGAGGAGAGGAGGAGAATTGTATTCTTTTATTTCCTTCATTTAGATAAATAAATAAATCATATTAAAACATTCAAAAATAAAGTAAAAAAAAATTTTATCCTTCTTTTTTCTTCAATTTTTTTATAATACAATAAAATAATTTTGCCCCTTCTTTTTCTCTTTTTTTAAATCCAAATATATTATTAGCCATAAGTTCAAAAAAACCCTCTAAATTGTAAACAATATGCCAGGAGTTTGATGCCGCTTGAAACTTGAGTTTTTTTTAATGCCAAATTCAAAATATTTAAAATGTATTTGATTTGAAAAAACCAAAAAAAAAAAAAAAAAAGAGAAGTAAATTTATTTTATTCAATTAAATTAGGAAGACCCGTAGAAATATAATAACCTAAAATTCATCTCAACATAGACTTGCTCATTCTAACAAA